TGTTCCACCTTGTGGTGTCACGTGGTACTACAGAAAGTGTTGCACTGTGTTTTTACACATCTTCACTAATAATAAAGGGCTACTCACACATGGGTGAATGAAACAAAACACAACTCCAGATCTTTTTTTATATAGGTAATTGTAATCGAATGGCCTGTTCAGATTGGAGCGTCAAGGTATCCAGTTTACATGCAAAGTCTATGTGGTCGTGCGTCTAGGGCGTCCTGCATTTTTTCTTCTCTTTCGGCGTTGGGCATACATCACCAAGACTACACCAGGGCTAAACTAGGTCTAAACCAGGACTAAACCAGAACTGGACCAGGACTAAACCAGGATTTAACCAGGTATACATGTATACACACCGCCACTGTTGCCGATCGCCTCCGCTGATGTGTTTTATGTGGACTCGCAGACTGGACCAGAAGCCGTTTCTCTCCCGTTGGTCCATGGCATGAACTCAAATGCAAAGGTGTCCAACTAGAGGCGTCCAGGGTGTTTTTTGACGCTGTGGTGTGAACGCAGCATAATGCAGCTCATAAGAGTCAAATTGCGTAATATAGGACAGTTAAAATAATTGATTATCAGGGTAAAAAGACGAAGCCTGAAAAAAGTAAAATTTCTTTTTACACTAATGACATTAATTCTAAAATTCAGTTTTGTCCTACTATTGGTAAAATGACTCTATTCAGGGAATGCAAATGGCCTGAAAATTCCAAAATGCAAACGAAGTGACACATATGACAGGGCATGCTCCTCTTTGTGTTTTGAGGGAAAAAATAAAGTAGCATTTCATATTAGTAGTTAAAAAGATATTATGAATCACACTATATTTTTTCTGTTGCGGTTATTTTCAAGGGAACAAAACGGTGTGCGTTGGCTCCATGGTGAAGGCTCTGTCTCAGATGAAAGATTTATGCATTTGCATGTGGCTGTGAACTCACACATGACAGGATAGTAGGGCTGCTGCGCGGTGTGGGTGGACCGGGGAGCCACTGCTGCGCTTCTATCACATCATTATTCTTTCCTTTTTTAAAGCGCCTCTCTCTCCTCAGACACACAGGGGCACAGCAGGGAGAGCAACACAAGCCGCTGCAAAATCAGCTCACAAACACACATTAGTTTAAGATAATGTGGTTTGGTTTACCGGATTTAGCCAAGGAAATAAGAAGTAAAAACAACAAATATAAACAAAAAGTATCCCAACACTATACATGGCCTAAGCCACATCAAATTCAGACCAATGAAAATACAACAAAAATATAAAAGTAGATAAAGTATTTAAAAATATGGACAATACCGGACTAAACCAGGTCAAGTTAAGGACTAAACATAACTGTAAGTAGCTGTAACTGGCTTCAAACATTGTGGACTATACCAGGCAGAACCCCATTTAAATCAGATCCAGGTTGAATAATGACTATAGCAGGACCAACAGGAATAACACTAGCATAATTGCTAATTAAAATTCTCAAGCTGCTAAGACTCCTGAGTGCCTTCCAGGAGAGTGTGATGTACCACCAGTGCTCGCTGTACCTGTGTGAACCCCTGCAGTAAGGTACAGCGAGATTCTCCTGACTAAAGTTGGACTTGGCAGTAAAATGGTGTGGGAGCGCATGGGTAAAGGCACAGGAGATAGTGAGGCTCTTATTTTGGCCCTGGTGAAATGATGCTCTATCTTTGTCAGCTCAGGGAGGAAAATACAGCACCTGAATGTGCCGAAAGTAAATAGGAGAAAAATCCCTTTGTGCCGCTCATGCAATTACAACTATTGGCTTTTATTCACCTGAGAGAATGCTGCCATAGAGACTGCTGGAGTTAGCGATTTAGTTGTTACCTCAGTAACTGAGGAGAGACACAATTAGTTGTTTCAATAATGGACAACTCTGCATTTTGTGGTTCAGAATCCTTATTAAATCCCGTTTTCTGGTGCTAATCTAAAATACATTTCAATAATGAACATAAATGTATCTGTCCCAGGAAGACTTCCTTCCTACCACATGGCCCCGTCTCACCCCCTCACACTCCCAATGGGCGCTTAGTGCCCAAGTTAGGATTCATAAGTCTAATTTGTCTGCATCTGTTTGTGTGTGTCTGTCATCTCCTTGTTTAAACTGTATGTTTAAGTGTTTGCATTAGGATATATAGCACACATTATAGCAATTCCACCGTGTACAGTTTTATAATGAATACAACCCCAAGTAAAAATAATGTATAGATGTAATAAATCTGGTAATTTTGTAGTGATAGCAATAGTAACCCCTGTAGGATAAGAACGTTAGATACAATTTGTTAAACTCTTTGTATGACACATTTTGTAATTTTGATGAATAGACTATTTATTTAAGAAATGCATCCCAGTGTGGTGGTTAATTAGTAAGGTACATAGTGAGTTATGGAGTGTTTAATCTAGCCACAAAGGGCAATATATTTTCATTGTGCTCCATACAGTATAGCAGCTCTTTAAATATAAACAATGTAAACAGAAGAATCAACGAACCCATGTTATCTTTGGTGTAACACAAATGTTTATTTTGCTAATGCTGAGATGAAAAGCTTTTTTTTGCAACTATAGTAGTTTTTACATCATTTCAGTATATAGAAGAATCTTTGAAGGCATTTCCTAGTTTCCTCACATCTAATCCCATCTGTACATCCCAGCTGCTTCCAGACATGTACAAAAAAGAACATGCTATGCTTTGAAACTAGGGCATTTTTTCTCCAAACTTTTTTATGCTGATTTCTGTGTAAAACAAACCCAATCGTATGTGGAACATTTTGTGAAGACACTGTGTACTGTAGAAGATCCTGTAATCGTGGTCTTTGATCCAAATAGGCATACCTGTCATTGGTTTGTCTAGATTTATAAACTGTTCTCATTTTGAAGCTGTAAATGAATCCACCAAATCTGCATCCTTCTCCTCCTTCCTATGGTCTACCAGCGTATATAAGCACTCAAATAAAGTAGCTAAGGATTTTCAAAGAGAAAGTTTATTGAACAAGCACAAACATGTGTTTCTTTATAAACAATATAAATAATAATACAGATGTCCTCATGTAATATAATCTAATATACATAATGACTAGGCCTGTCATGATAATCACTATATTGATTTATCGTTCCATATATGAAAGCTGGAACTATATATTTTTAATGCGCTTACATTTTCTTTTCTACATTAATAGTGAGGAGATGTTTGTTATTTTTATTGTAATTACATAAGATTAGAGCTGTGGAGTATTGATTAAAAAAATTCTATGACTAATTATTTCAGATATTTTATTCTTTCAGATATTTATTTGTTGCAGCTCATGCCTTTTAATGATACTCTAGTTTTAGTAATGGTTCACTGGGATTATATTGTTTTATTTTTATTGTGTCAGAGGCAAAAAGTAGTTTCAGTATTATCATTTATCATTATATTTTTAGTAGTAATACAGCGTGCTTCATAATTTCTTGTTGTGATAGGTCTAATAATGGCATCAGGTCTGGAAGAGATCAAAGCAGTAATAACAGTTTGACTTTAAGGGCAGATTATATCAGTTGTTTCTAACCCAGGCTAGATATGTGGCCTTTATCTGCAAAAAGTTCAGTGGATTAGACTGCGGATATTTTGGGGACCCACTGAAGACAGGAAGTTTATACTTTCTATTAAATCCCTTTATAAAGTGCAGCAGCTCCAAGGATAAGAAGCTAATGAAATCTTTGCAGGTTTATTACAGTTTGTGTGAAGTATATAATACCTTTTAAAATGCCAACACATTCTTTATACCTTAGTGAATACAAACTCCAGTTATCACTATCACTGCAAAAGATGGATATGTAATGAATTAAATCACTGGAATCTATCTTGATTTGAATAAATGTGACTAGTTTTAATTTATAGTATTTCGAAACTTTAAATGGATGCATAAATGTTATTTTCTAGTTACAAGCAAAATGATCTGTCAGTAGAGCCGTGTTTGTTCATTTATAATACTTAGAAAACAATTACAATTTATTGAAATGAAAATGTTTTAATCAAACCAACATTTTTTTCTTCTTGAAATTAAAATAATACATTAAAAACAGTCAGATACAAGTTTAGACCAACTCATTAAATCAAATCTACAATTAAAGGAGACATATTATGCTAAATACAATTTTAAGAGTTTTTAACCACATTATTATTGTTTTCCTTCCCACACTGCAAAAAACAAAAATCTAGCCAAGTTAAGATGACTTGAATTAAGAAAGTTTTATCATGATTTGAGTACATTTTATTTAAGAAGTAAAATAATCTGCCAGTGGAATAAGACTTTTTTGTACTTAAAATATGAAAAACACATCTTGCTACACTTAAAATAAGAAAAACAACAACGTTTTGCACTTAAAAATAAGAAACATAATCGAATATTGCTTGAATTAAGAAAAGCACACTTATTCCATTGGTAGATTCTTTTACTTGTCAAGTTGAATCTACTCAAATAAAGTAGAATGTTCTTAATTTAAATCATTTTAATTTAACTACAGTAGATATTGTTTTTTTCCTGTGCATTTACACAGTCAAAGTTGTGTTTAGATCGTATCATGCATGTTCCAGAAATCTTGATTTTCCTGCCTTCAAGATACCATTGATCCCAGAATTCCTGTTTTCCCTACACCAATTTCTATTTACTCACTTCACTTTGCCTGCTAACATGAAGTGTATATTAGTTAAGGTGGTCCATCTGCACGGCACTTTGTTGTGATGGCATTTACTTGGACGTACCATAAAAGATTTTTCAACTTTTTTCAGTATTGCAATTTGAATATAAATAAAGATCCACAAATACCATAGATTATAACTATCTGACCCTCAGGAACAGCTTATCCCTTAATCCTAAATTTAAAAAAAAAAAAATTGCTGCCAGAAGCATAATGTCTTCTTCACTGTGCCTGTTACATCACATGCATAATCCTTCACCCTGTCTTTCTTCTATCTTTCGGTCTCTGTGTTGTGATTATGTGCCGTGTCACTCACCATTGAAGCTGGCGCTGCGGATGTACTTGAGCAACGTCTTGCCCTCTGCTGCCTCCATCTGTGGGCAGACGGAGGGGTGGTCCGGGCACAGGTCTCGGTGCATGTCGTGAAGCGCATGGGCCATGGCATACACTGCGTCAATCACAAACTGCACCTTCCCCTCCTGCTCGTACTTAGAGTCGATCCCTATGCGCTCCTGACCTGATTGACATATAAGAAATGATATTAGTATAGAAAAAAAGTTTTATATCGGATGCCCTACCTCAGATGCTAGCAAATTAATTTTTCAACATTTTTGGTTTATAAACATTGGACCAGAATTAGGAGTTCTCACACAAACTTTTGAAATTATATGGTTTGATATATTGAGCTACATACGGATTCAATTAATCTAATAGCCTTTTACTGCATATTCATATCTTTGATAGAAACCCACAAATCACACTCATTCATATTGTGATTTTTTTCCACCCCCATAATTATGTCTTCTAAAGTAAGATTTTTTTATGACATAATGGAACTGGGTTTCAGAAACTATCCATGGGTTTCCGAATGAATGAAATGTTAAGACTGTTGTCAACAAACATATGAACACTGTGAAACTCATTCCAAGATAGTCAACACTTTGTACCTGGCCACGCTATAAATCAAAATGCCAAAGATGTGATTAATGTCAAAGAAATACCTTTATAAATTTGATTATTTTGTTATAATTGCAAAGAGACCATGTGTGTTCTTATTGACCAGGAAAAAGAAGAAAATGTGCAGTTGAGCAGACCCCCCCCCCGTGATGGCAGTAAGTGTGTGCTCCTGCCCATTTGTCCTGTGTGTAAGGTGAACAAGATTACTCTGAACTTTAGAAACTCTCCCATTGACTTTGTATTGTGCTTCCTGGTACACTGCCCTTTCACTATTGGTGTCCGGTCTGATACGCCACTTGAATACAAAATGTACATCTGCTGCAATTCCTCTGTTCTTCTTTGAAATTGAAGTCATTTTTTTGGAGCTATTTTCATTCATCAAATCAAAGCTGCACCAATCTATTCAACCTAAACGAGTGGAAATTATGGCTATTACTTGTAATATTCATCATTGTGGGTGTAATTATAATATTTTCAGTCCAAGACACTGAGAGAAGTAAATTATCATAACAAAACTCTGACAGACTCTTGTTCACAAAGTTGCTGAATATGTAAAAGTAAAACTTGCATAAACTGAAGGAGGTCAGAGGCACCTGTGTTGACATTTCAGCTCATTTCTCAGACCAAAGATAACCTTTAGGTGTATGAGCAGCATTTAGACACCGCCCTGTGTATATTGTACAAGGATTTTTGTATGAGTAGATAACTTAATCAACTGAGGTAACTCTATGTGATGATTCACCTCTAGGAGCTGTACATTATAGCCAGTCAATATAATATACCAATAATATCATTATTTTCAATGCCTTTTTGTATCTTAACTCTATAATATGTATATTCTAATATTCTAGTTAAATGATTACAATTCAGTCTCAAATAGTTCTTACGTTCGATTGCATATTTTGTGTTCTCTTGTTGTTCTTGGTCCGCTGTGTTGCAACACTGAAATTTCCCCATTGTGGGACATATAGTTTCATAAGAGTAGGACAAATATAATGAGAGCAGGGGTGATCAAAGAGGGGCCCATGGGTCAAACTTAGCACTCCAGAGGGTTTAATTTGGCCCAGGAAGACCATCTGAGATTTAAAGAATAAACTAGTTTGATACAAGTTTGCATTGAAAAGACTGTCAGGAGATGGGATCGAGGCTAATCCTGTCTATTTCCAAATATTTAAAGTCAATTTAATGATAAATTTCTTTGCAGAAGAAAATTTTTATGTGCAAACTTTAATTAGGTTTGGCCCTCAACCCACTAATGCACATTCATTTTAGCCCGCTGAGGAAAAACCTTTGGATGCCCCTACATTAGAGGTATACAGTACAGTATATATGCTTTGGGTTAAATAAGTATAATGTATTACACAGGTAAGACTCGTCCTCACCGCTAATGATTCAGAACCAAACTGCAGCTAAAATAAGGCGGGCAGACCACGGGAGATGGGGAGAAGGTGACTGAGCTTGACAATGTAAAACACAGGTATTGCAGCAGCAGTAGACATTGTGTGTATGTAATGTTGCCTGGTCTAATAATAACCGTCCCGCCTGCACCCGCTGGGCAAAACACCTGGTGCTACACTTTCACTGTGGAGACGAGAGCAGAAAAATACACCAGTCTATGTGGAGCATGTAATGTGGACAAAAGGTCAAGAACGCATCCATCTGACTTACACACAGGTCTTTCTCTGAATATTTTCAAAATACACTGAGATGGGCACAGCTCGTAGTACTTTGCACTTGTACAATCATAGTTTTTTTTACATTTTGTTTTGTGTCTCTGTTCTTGCTTTGTCTTATTCACCTGTGCGTTAGTCACAGTTAGATTTAGTATACACCTTGCTTTGCTCTGTTTTGGTCCATGTTATGATTTGGTTTGAAACTGGTCACACTTTACTTGCACTTGAAAAATCTGGTCATTATCTGATTTCTGGATTCAGATTATTATTGATTACTGAAAAGGAGCTAGCGTAATTTCAGATCTAACTTCTACCTCACGGCTTCTCTAGAGTTTACCTGCTCCTCAACCTTCATCACCTCACCCCAAATACTCCTCCCCGCTGCTCGCCACCTCTCCTCCCATCCAATCAGCACCCAGTCTGCCCAACGTAAACTCCCATTACAGATGCACGGCTGCTTCTGTTTGTGCAGCAGCCCCTCATATTCTCATCATCCCCATCATCTCATTGTTCATCCTTCATCGTCCCCTTCAGTCTCCTCAGCCTCCCCTCTACCATCTCCAGTGTCCAGGCCCCGGGGGCAGACCTCTCCTAAACACCTTCTAATCATCCACGCCCTTCATTGCAATGTCTTCTGCCCAGTCTCATTCAATAAAACCATTAATACTTTCTCTTTGTAAACTGTTTCAGCTGATGCAAGAAGTGTGATTTCTTTCTGACTGTTCACACCTTTGCAGGTTTTGACAAGGACAATTGAGCAAAAAAGGACAAACTAGTGTAGCAAAGACAACAATGAAAGGGAAAATGATGATTGAAAGATGCATTTTCAAATAAATTGTACATCTCTTCTCTCCTCTCCTTTATGTTAATTTTGTGATGATTATTTCTGTTTTGATTTGTTTGCATTGTGATTTAAATGTCTTTCTTATTCTGTATAGAACTTGGAATTACTTAGTAAAAAATTGTGCTATACAAATAAACTTGCCTTGCCATTGTCCAAAACTCTGATCCAATTATTGGGTTAACTGATTATTCTAGTTATCTGATTTTCACCATGTAAATGTGCTCACTATATTTGTATTCACTCCTGTTTTAGTACAACTCTATAGCCTATTCTGTCTCTTCTGTGGTTACATTTGGTCTCTATACATAAAACTCACAAATAAGAGACTGAGAAAGCTGCTACATGTGTTAGAGATTGCTGCTAGAGATGTTTAAATAATTACCAGTGCATTTCCGACTCGTATCCTCTTTCTTTGAAGCACTTAGGAGTCGACAGTTGAAGTTTTCCTCCCAAAACTCTGCGAACCAAACGTTTCTTCTGTTGTTCTCAAGGGTCAGGCCAGTGAAGTATTCGTCAAAACCTGGAGAAAAGATAATATTATCAAAAATAAGGTAATAAAAATATAGAGCAGTTTTTGGACTATAAGGCGTACTTAAAATCCTTTAAATTCTCAAAAATGGACAGTGTGCCTTATAATCTAGTGCACATTATGTATTAATTCTGGTTGTGCTTACTGATCTGAACTGATTGTATGTGGTACACAGAGCTCAAAAATCTGTTAAAATGTTTTAGTGAAACTCTGGTAAGCTACAAAGCCACACCGCTTGATGGATTGTCGGAGCATTACGGCTAAAGTAGGCAAGAGGCTTGCGGAGTAAGTGAGTCATTTCCTTTAGTCTGACAGAAGCTGACTGTATCAGGATACAAGGAGTGAGCCATTTTTTCAGAGTTTATAGTTTATGCAAATGAGCCATGTGGTTTTAAGTTTTGTTTCTGTAAAACGTAAAGAAATATGCACAAAGCTGCATTAAACACATTATTACTCAATGTATATTTGAGTCCTCCTTGTAGGAAATAAAAAAAACAAACTTAAATGATCCACCCACATCCCCAAGACAGGGAGGCAACGCTGGGCGAATTACGCCATGATCTGCCAGTGGATCGTTGATGCCTGGCCTAAGTCTCAAGTATAATCCATTTGTTTTGCTTAATGCGCCTTATGTATGAAAATAGACGAGAGAATTCAAAATTATTTATATTGCATCTTGTAGTCCGAAAAATATGGTAATAGACTATGGCACAATATAAAATGTGTGTGTAACAATTATTTTGAGAATAAACGTCATGACTTTGGAATTGTTCAATAATACGCATACTGTGTTTTTAAACTCCACACACCTCCAGTAGAATCATTTGGATAATTTCAGTCTTGGAATTGCCCATCTCTATTGAACAAATGGTAAAAGCTTAGCTTAAAAACTACCGCTTCATGGCATGGAACAGATTTCATTTCGTTTCTGAAGAGGTAACAACATCATAACATGGCTTAAAGCTGACAAGAATCCATTTTGGGTAATATACGTAGGACCTTTAATCTCATTTCACTACCGTAGTTACCGTTACCGTACATTATCATTCTTCTAGACTAGTTTGTGGCCAGCTCTATGAACATATGATAAATGATTATGTAAAAATAAAGTAAGAAAGATAAAAAAGTTCTTTACTTTTAGGGTTACTTAATTATGAATTAATTAAATTTACTTAGTCCCACAGTTAGTTCTTACTCAATAATTATTATGAATATATGACAGCTGTAACAATATGGGAAAGTGATGATTATTTTTTGGCAGTAAGATAAGATATAAACAGTAAAAGTTTGAATTAATAACTTCTATGACTCATTACAGACACAAACTAAATACTAATGTGTTTCATTCTGCTATTTATTTATTTATTGCAGCTCATGATTTAACAATATTATACATTTAGAATATTTTTTGTGGTTTAAATCTGCCCTTGGATTTTAGTGCCAGTAGCATGAATTAGTTTTAATATTATTGTGATAGTCCTACACATGATCATTATTTTAAAAAATTCTTACTTAATTATAGATACAATTATGGATTAACCACATAAAGTTAACATGACTGCAAAGAACGATTCGAACCGACAGGAAAGAGACAAAACATGTAGCGTGTGCAAGGTTAGCAAATCCTTTTAGGCCTGCTTCATCAAAATTTCATTGTGGTAGTGGTTCCTCTTCCTCCCCAGCCCCATAGAGCCATAATCACTTCTTTCATCTAGGAAATGGCATTAATTAAAAAGTAGAAAGCCTGATAAATAAGGCAGGGAGTGTAAGTGGCGCCACACAGACTGCAGCCCGGGGCGGTCAGATCCTGCAGGTGTACATGTTCATAAAACCTATTACTGCAGATATCGATGGAGTGAGCTGCATGCGATCCTTACATGATTTAGGTATGATGAATTAGCTGGAGGAGAGATGAACTGCGGAAACAATGGAGGCTGGAAAAATGCCTGTATGCACAATTTCTGCTTTGTTTAGTCTGTAATGTGGGTCAGGAAAAGCAACAGGAACATAGTGAGATTTATAGTCAAAGAGTCAGTTTAAGTTTTATATGGAAACTGGGAGAAAATATGGTTCCTTTGCTTCCTTATAGTTTATAGTTTATAGCTCTGTGTTGTTGACACTTGGGGGTTACGCTTTACACACCTCTGTTGCCTTGAGCAGTGCTGAGAAGTAACCGAATACATGTACCAAAAATACATATACTGAATACTAATTCTGAGTACCTGTATTCTGTTGTATTGTTGAGTTACTGTTTCATTGTGTGGTTTTCAGAATACAGTTACTTTCCTAAAATCAAAGGAATTTATTAGCAGTACTTAATCATGCAATTTTGGTTGTGCATTTTTATTAAGAAAAATTCAAAACACAGCTCTTTCCTCTTTCTTTCTCTAATTCTCTATAAATTAAATTAATGACAACAAACAATACAACAAAAATAAAGTGAATTGTAATTGCATTTCACTATAATATAATCTAACTAGGCATATTCAAAATATTCAAAATACAGTACTCTGAGTGGACCATGTATTGGAATACATTGCACAAAACATTTTAATTTGGGTATTCAGTATTCTGTGACTAAATACATTTACAAATACATGAATACATTCAAAGTATTCTTCCCATCAATGGCCTTGAGGTAGTCTATCAAAGAAATGGCAGCAATTTGGTGTCTACATCCTTTCCAACTACACGCAACCACATTAATATTTAAATTTTATTCATACATTTATATAGACAATGTAGTTAAAATGTCTTGCCTAAGGACACACCGGTATGCATCAAGAAAGATCAGTCCCCCAACCCTTTATTCAGATGAATGACTTCACCGTTTGAGAGTTTTCACAGTGGAGCTATAAGGTGTTCACTAATCCAAACTCAATGACTCAGCAGATTTCCCTTTAAAAAGTCCATCGGTGATTTATGGAGGATTATACTCTGTGCCTCCATTTATCTGCATTGTCCTGGACAGACCTCCCCTAATTAATGAGCTTTATAAAACTCCAAAGTTTCTGCTATTATAATATTGTAATGATAAGTGCTTATTAAGCTGCAGTGAACGGAATCTAAAATGGACTATGCTCACTGGGAATTAGAACATGCTGTGTCCAATGTGGCAGTACGTTTGACTAATTTGAGGCGCCGCTTTTGTTTGACCCACCAAATCGGAGGCTATTTAACTCCTGAGCACAAATTTAAAGCAGCCGTTCATGCAGGAATGTGTGACAAGGAAAATCAATGCTTATTCTACAAGTCTTAAAGGCATACAGTAGCTCAGGGTTTTGTAAAAAAGGAGATTCTTTTCAATACAGCAGGAAGGTGGTGTGGAATTAGGGATGCCCCAGTATCCATTATTCACTATTATTGACCAAGCAACAATAAAATCCTTAAAGGTCCTGTACCTCAATTCTACTTCCCCAAAAAATAATGTGAAAACAGAACTTGAAGCAGTCCACAACACAACACAAACTCGAAAACTGAAGAAAGGAATTGGTTTTATTTTGAAAAATGAATGAATGAATGAATGAATGATATACGCATTCACTTCGTTAAAAAGCGTTAAAAACGCTTTGTAATTTGATAGCCTTTTGACCCTAAGAGCTTTTCTCATATGTCATTATTGGAGTAACAGAAATTAAAATTTATTACATGAAAAGATTTTATGAACACAAAATTCATTCTATTAGTATGTGAGCTTCATAGGATTAAATTTATAAATGAAAAGTAATGGTGATATATATATATATATATATATATATATATATATATATATATATATATATATATATATATATATATATATATATATATATATATATATATATATATATATATATATATCTAGATCTAAATGTACTATCTGCTCTTGACACCTGGTGTAATAGTGGCCCAAAGGAAAAGCACATCAAATCAAACTACAAGTTGTATTAGATAAATTCACAATAATAACAAACATGAATCCAACATATCCAGTGAAAGCTTTCCCTTGAGCTTGTCCTTTGCAGTTTCCACATTTTCAATAAAAGGGATTTGAGATAGCCCTTACAGATGTCCTATGTGCTACTATAATTATAAGAAATCTGACTTGAACTAACCCCAAAAGTGCCATTGTCAAGAATCAGAAACACATATTTAAAGTCTATATCAGCAGCTTGTTTCAGTTTGAACCAGAGCACTTTTCCTGTAAGAATCACATGTAGCCAATTTGTCCAGAGTCACTTAAGTCGGGTACAATTCACGGCCAAAAGCAGAGACAAGGTCAGGCTTGTTCTCTCAGGATCGATGAAAAGTCGTTTTGAGAAATGCAGGAAATTGCTAACTCGAGTAGAAATAGATGAGGTGCAAGCGACCAGGCTCACAGGGCAAAGGGTGAAGGAAGAGCAGTCTTTGGCATAAATTCACCGGTTGTCAGCTTCTCTTGCAAACTAGGCATCCAGGATTTCAAATGTAGCAACTAAATTTGACCAGTGGTGGAAGGTAATGAAGTAAACATAGTAAGCCCTCCTTGAACCGTCACCTTATCGTGGTGGAGGGGTTTGAGTGCCCAAATGATCCTGGGAGCAATTTTGTCGGGGGCTTCATGCTCCTGGTAGGGTCACCCAAGGCAAACAGGTCCGGGGGGACGAGTCAGACGAAGAACGGTTCAGAAGCCCCACATGATGAGTTCTAATCAGAGGCCAGTTACGTCGCCCGGAATGGCGTCACCGGGGCCCCACCCTGGAGCCAGGCATGGGGTGGGTGCTCGAAGGGGAGCGTCTGGTGGCCGGGCCTTCCCCCACGGGCCCCGGCCGGGCACTGCCCGAACGAGCGACGTGGGGCCGCCCTTCCGTGGGCCCACCACCCGCGAGAGGAGCCATATGGGGCCTGTGCAAAGAGATCTGGGCAGTCGAAGGCGGGGCCTCGGCGACCGGATCTCTGGACATGGAGACTAGCTCTGGGGACATGGAATGTCACCTCCCTGGGGGGGAAGGAGCCTGAGCTTGTGCGGGAGGTTGAGCATTACCGACTAGATATAGTCGGCCTCACCTCCACGCACATTTTGGGCTCTGGAACCCAACTCCTTGAAAGGGGCTGGACTCTCCATTTCTCTGGCGTTGGCCGCAGGGAGCGGCGGCGGGCTGGTGTGGGCCTGCTCATTGCCCCACAGCTCAGCTGCTGTGTGTTGGAGTTTACCCCGGTGAACGAGAGGGTCGCGTCCCTGCACCTTCGGGTCGGGGACAGGTCTCTCACTGTGGTGTCGGCCTACGGGCCGAACAGCAGTGCTGAGTACCCGGCCTTCTTGGAGTCCCTGGGAGGGGTACTAGACAGTGCACCGACCGGGGACTCCGTTGTTCTACTGGGGAACTTCAACGCCCACGTGGGCAACAATGGTGACACTTGGAGAGGGGTGATTGGGAGGAACAGCCTCCCTGATCTGAACCCGAGCGGTGTTTTGTTATTGGACTTCTGTGCTAGTCACAGTTTGTCCATAACGAACACCATGTTCGAGCACAAGGGGGTCCATAAGTGTATGTGGCACCAGGACACCCTAGGCCGGAGGTTGATGATCAACTTTGTAGTCGTGTCATCTGACCTCCGGCCGCGTGTCTTGGACACTCGGGTGAAGAGAGGGGCTGAGCTATCAACTGATCACCACCTGGTTGTGAGTTGGGTTTGCTGGCGGAGGAGGAAGCCGGAAAGACCTGGCAGGCCCAAGCGTGTAGTGAGGGTCTGTTGGGAACGTCTGGCGGAGCCCTCTGTCAGAGGGACTTTCAACTCGCACCTCCGGGAGGACTTCTCCTGGATTCTGGGGGAGGCTGGAGATATGGAGTCCGAGTGGGCTTCATTCTTGGCCCCTATTGTCAATGCGGCCGCTCGTAGCTGTGGGCGTAAGGTCTGTGGTGCCTGTCGCGGCGGCAATCCACGAACCCGGTGGTGGACACCGGAAGTAAGGGTTGCCGTCAAGCTGAAGGAGTCCTATCGGGTCTTGTTGGCTCGTGGGACTCCTGAGGCAGCTGATGGGTACCGGCGGGCCAAGCGTGCTGCAGCTCGTGTGGTTGCGGAGGCAAAAACTCAGAGCTGGGAGGAGTTCGGGGAGGCCATGGAGGAGAACTATCGGACGGCCTCAAAGAGATTCTGGCAAACTGTCCGGCGCCTCAGGAGGGGGAAGAAGTCCTTCACCATCACTGTTTACAGTGCAGGAGGAGAGCTGTTGACCAAAGGAATACTTTGAGGATCTCCTCAATCCCACCGTCACGTCTTCCGAGGAGGAAGTCGAGGCTGGGGACTCGGAGGCGGACTTGTCGATCACCCTGGCTGAAGTCACTGAGGTGGTTGGCAAGCTCCTTGGTGGCAAGGCTCCGGGGTTGGATGAGATCCGTCCTGAGTACCTGAAGTCTCTGAATGTTGAAGGGCTGTCTTGGCTGACACGCCTCTTCAACATCGCGTGGAGGTCGGGGACAGTACCCTTGGACTGGCAAACCGGGGTGGTGGTCCCTCTGTATAAGAAGGGGGACCGGAGGGTGTGTTCCAACTACAGGGGAATCACACTCCTCAGCCTTTCTGGTAAGGTCTATGCCAGGGTACTGGAGAGGAGAATCTGGCCGATAGTTGAACCTCGGATTCAGGAGGAGCAATGTGGTTTTCATCCTGGCCGTGGAATACTGGACCATCTCTACACTCTCCATAGGGTGCTCGAGGGTTCATGGGAGTTTGCCCAACCAGTCCACATGTGCTTTGTGGACTTGGAGAAGGCATTCGACCATGTCCCTCGTGGTGTCCTGTGGGGGGTGCTCTGGGAGTATGGGGTTCGGGGTCCTTTGCTAAGAGCTGTCCGGTTCCTGTATGACCAGAGCAGGAGCTGTGTTCGCATTGCCGGCAGTAAGTCAGACCTGTTCCCGGTGCATGTTGGACTCCGCCAGGGCTGCCCTTTCTCACTGGTTCTGTTCATTGTATTTATGGACAGAATTTCTAGGCGCAGTCAGGGGCCGGAGGGGGTCCGGTTTGGGGACCACAGGATCTCATCTCTGTTGTTCGCAGATGATGTTGTCTTGTTGGCTCCATCGAACCAGGACCTACAATGTGCACTGGGGCGGTTTGCAGCCGAGTGTGAAGCTGCTGGGATGAAGATCAGCTCTTCCAAGTCCGAGGCCATGGTTCTCGACCGGAAAAAGGTGGCTTGCCCTCTCCGGGTGAGTGGGGAGTCTTTGCCTCAAGTGGGCGCTCCCTTAGAGATAGGGTGAGGAGCTCAGTCACACGGAAGGAGCTCGGAGTAGAGCCGCTGCTCCTCCATGTCGAGAGGAGCCAGCTGAGGTTTCTCGGGCATCTGTTCCGGATGCCTCCTGGGCGCCTCCCTCGGGAGGGGTTCCAGGCATGTCCCACCGGGAGGAGACCCCGGGGAAGACCACGGGACACGCTGGAGGGACTATGTCTCTCGGCTGGCCTGGGAACGCCTCGGGGTTCCCCTGGAGGAGCTGGAGGATGTGTCTGGGGTGAAGGAAGTCTGGGAGTCCCTGCTTAGACTGCTGCCCCTGCGACCCGCCCCGGATAAGCGGAAGAAAATGGATGGATGGATAGTAAGCCGATATTTAAGTGGATACTTTTACTTTACGACATCTGAGAGCAGTTGTCCGTACTTCTACTCCACTACATTTTCGAACAGGAATATATATATATATATATATATATATATATATATATATATATATATATATATATATATATATATATATATATATATATATATATATATATATATATACACATGTTATACTTCATATACTGTATATTTACCGTGACAATGCTGTTTAAAATATCAAGTAGAGATGAAGCGCTAATTGCTTCTAGTTTAGATATTCCAGTATTCCAGTTGTGTAGTTGTGTTTTTCTTGTTTGTTTATAGTCTTTTAAAAACCTGTCCTCTGCACTGAACCCACTCATTAGTGAATACAATACAATACAAGCCTTTGTAGTTTGTATGTAATCAAGCGTGGAAAACATTTGTAAGTAAGACGTTTTTCTCTACACCTCAGTGACTTTTTAAGGAGTTTGTCATTCATTAAAAGAAACAAACAGGTTGGCAATGCACTGACAAGAACAGATTTCAGTAAATTGTGTTTTGGGGGCTATTACAAGATTCTCCTGGAGTCTTCTCTGTGTAAAAAGCTCTGCGGTGCTGTGAATATACCTCTAATGGAAGAGCGTTTGGGTAAGATAGTGATGGCTCCCGTAGCGACCTCTTCGAGTTGGTGGATAGGGCTGCTCTTAGCTCCCCAGCTGTCAGAGCCAATCCACAGGAAGTGTCCCACCTGATTGGCCCGCTTGGTCGCGTTGAGAATCCCTCTAGAACATAGAGATCAGGTTTAGGTTAGGAGACAAGATGGGGGACTAAAAGATTAACCGTGGAGGTAATATGTGAGACGCCAGTTGGAAAATGAGATCTTAGACTAGATTTTCTATTAGCATATCTAACCAGAGTTTAGGATTGTTGTAAAGGTATGGACACTGAACAAATTTCTTCAAAATAACCACTTAGTTACATAAATTGAATTGGGGTGTAGCTAATTCAATATCAGCAATTTGTGATTTTATAACTCTTGGGGACTTGTGTGTGCATTTCCCATAATATAATTTTGATTAACATTTACTGTAGAACTAAGTTTGCGGAGCAAGTCATACTGTGAGACTCAGAACCACAGACTGTATAAAGAAGTGGCCTAAGGGAATGTGAACTCATCTATAGAGTGCAACTCCAGTCAAATGAAGCTCACAATGGTAGCAATTACCATTTTAACCAATGTCATGTAGGTCAAATATCTAACCTTTATGATCATCTTTTTTTGTTTTTAACATAATATTTTTGTGCCTCCATTTACAGTTTACAAACTTGTGAACATTTTTGGAATTACGTGTGTTTGTTAAACTTTGAGTAGAATTTGAATTAGAAATTGCAAATTGATCAGGTCATATTCCACCTGGAACAAAACAAAAATATTTATTCTCATCGCACCTAAAATAACCAAGTCCAAATGTTAATTTAAACTAAACATGCAGAGTAGGCCATACTGTGAGATGCAGTACCATATACTGTATAAAGAAGTGGACTAAGGGAGTGTAACATCACCCATAGCGGTCAGCTCCAGTCAAATGTAGCTCATGATGCTAGCTGTTATAGAAGCGAATTTGGAGCCAGGACCACATTAGGAATATGAATTTTTTTACAGAGAAAATAGCGAATAAAAAAACAAAACAGGATCATGTAGAGCATGTTAATACAAATATTTTAAGACCAAAATGACAAGGATCACGGCATCAGTTACAGAGTGAGAGGCCAATTGGAAACAGAGTCGAGTCGGACGCTCCCCCACTTCCTATTTGGAACGTGATGACTGGCAGGTTAGTTATGTCCATACACACTGGAAAACAACAATCTTCAATAAATTAAAATAGTTTGAATTAACATTTGGACTTGGTTTGAGTGGAGCTTTCTTATTTTAGGTGAAATGAGAATAAATATTTAGTTCTGTTCCAAGTGGAATATGACCTGGTCAATTTCCAAATTCTAACTCAAATTCTATTCAGAGTTTGACAAACACAAAATTCACAACAACACTTAATTTGAGAATTTTTAACAGTTTAGTAAACTGTAAATGGAGGCACAAAGATATTATATTTAAAAAAAATTAAATAGATTATCATCCCTACCTCACATTGGCATCATTAATTGTGAAATAACAAATATTAAAACAATTAATTATGGATTGTATCACTGTAAAAAAAATGTAATTTGAATTAATTACTAACACAACTTGGTAGATTACCAATTTTGTTACGGTTTTGTTCTAAAAAAAAAAAAAAAAAACGTAACAAAATTGGTAATCTACCATTTACAGTTGGGATGACACAGGCACAGAACATTTTCATCTTTCCTCCAGCTTATCTCCAGGAGCTTAGTAGGTGAAATGCACGGACACATCCTATAGTTCTCACATCAGGCTCTTATATTTACCGTATGTCCTCCTCACTGGCAAAGATGATGACGGCTCTTGCGTGCTGAGACTCCAGTAACTGTTGGACGCCTTTGTCGTAATCCTCCAGCTTTGGGTTGTGGGGGATTTTCAGTGACTGGGCGATGCAGATCCCACCTGAAGAATGGGACAGAAGGAAAAAGAGATAAGGTAATGATGAAATGCACCAATATTCAATGAGATATTCGTCAAGGTGGAAAAAATTAGGAAAGGAAAAATCTATGATGAATATTTGTTTTGATGCAGATCTTGTTTTTGTGTGTGATGACAAATTCTGTACATTTATGGATGAAATTTATACTTTGGTCTAATCTACAGAAGCAAAATATTAGCTTTTGCAGATTAGACAGTGCGCAATGTGAAAAAGGTTACCCCTGAGCTAGAGCTACTTTGTCTACAATTTTTTTCTCCAATTTAATTTTAGTATTTGTAATTGTTGATATTAAAATATGTTAATCTTTCTGTCAATGTCCTTTTCTTAAAGATACACTATGGAACTTTTTGGTTAGGGGTCTGGCATTTGCATGCCTCTATGGAGATGCCATTGCTCTGCCTGAAATGTTCCACTGTATAACATTAAACAGCTCTACTTTACATTTATCCAGTTCCAGGTGGTTGTAACAAGCTCTACATTATGTAACTTCTCTAGTGGTGGTTTAGTTACTGCTTTGCCGATAATTTTCTCATAATAAGGCATTAAACTTATCTATCTTCATGAAGATAGGAAGGTGATGCCATAAGTTATGGATTCAGCTGGGGTCTCATTTGCAAGGCGTGCGTATGTAAAAATATATTACATGACTTTCCATATTAAGTCGGAGATCTATAAAAAGACAACTTTACATAGAAATGTTCCAGACTCTGAACACTGCCTGTGGGGACTTTGAGAGACGAGACAGAAGACAAGATTCTCACTTAAAAGAGCAAGAAGACTGTGTTTTGTTTGAACATGCAATTTTAGTCACACTTTTGCACTGCACAATACAACGTTAGGGGCAAATTCCAAAAATGCTAGTCATATTTTTCCCTACAGTATGCATTGTCACACTCAAACTGTGCTCTCCCACTGAGGCTCTTCCTCATAGAGAGCGTTATAGGCAAATCTGCTGGAGCAAATCCAATAATCCACACCAGCCGGGATGACATAAAGCTACACATTTTGCATTATGGATCTGAGTGAATCCAGCAGACGCCATTGACTTTCCATTTTAAGTCATTATCATACATCTCTATTGGAAGTCGTACCAATCAGATAGCGGGCTGGAATAAAACAACAATGAGGATATTAATGCTGGCAATAAATCACTGTGCAGCAGGTCATCGCTAATGAATCTGAATGGGATGAAGATGTCTGATTGCGTTTCTGTCTTACTAAGCATCTGCTTGGGGTTTGGGTACAATATTCAACAAATTAGCTTGTAGCAATGTATTGTTTTTTGTAGCAACTCAACAGTGTAGTGATATCTTCCAGGGTGCACTACAGCTCATAGTGTTGTGCGTTGTGATGATAATCCAGTTTCAATTTTTATTTTGATTTAAAGAAAAATGCTCAATACTTTTCTTACTTTTCTTTAGTATTCTACTGTAACCCTAATATATTATTCTCAGCAGTCTCTTGGCATATTAGATTTAATATAATGTATTTTCTGCTTCCTTGCTTAAATAGACCAATATGGCAGAACAGTGTACAACTCAGTGTACAGTATTTATTTAGCAACTTGTCCTCACATATGCACAGTGCGTGTTGACAGTTTTTCTATAGGTGCACTGGCCTAATGCACTGGACTGAAAGAATAACAGGAACCAATGTTAATAGGTGTTCTGTTTAAATTTGTGTGTGGTTTGGTCTTTGGTTTAGTTCTTAAATGTATGAATTTGCATCAGGGTTCTTAGTTGCACAGATGAAAGTCATTTAAATTGTTTCAGTAGATGCACAATTTCTTTGGCTTGTGACTGAAAAATGCATGTCCGTCCTGCGCATCTAGCACAAAAAGAGGCAGGGCTTAAAATAGTGTATTTGATGTCTTAAACGCGAAGCCATCAGCCCCGGTAATATCAGTTTGAGCCATCTTCTTGTGCATTCATAATCAAGAGCAGCTAGTTGTACAGTTGTACAGCAGTTGTATAGTGTTAGCTTGGCTGTCTGTTTATGCTTTGTTCATGTGGTCACGACGCACGCAGTGTTTCCTGCGTCACGAGAAAGAGGAAAGAAATTGTCGCTTCCTCAATGTGTATTTATGCATTACGTTTCATAATCAAACCTCCAACCTTATTTGCTGTCACTATTTCACACATTTACTTATGATTTGGAGTTTCAAATGGTAAAAAAGAAAAAAAGTCAAGTTGTCAATGGGCAGGAGCAGACAGGTGCATGAGAGCGGAGAGGAGAGACGTGAGGCAAAATACATAATTAACGCAATTAATTAATTATTAATTAATAATTTTGCATTCAAATCAGTTAAATTCACACTGTTTCTTTAAAAATGTGTGTTATTTGATCTATTTTACACACCGTATATGTGCTATTTAAGGAAAAAATAAAATTAAGACAGATATGTCTTAATTAGATGGACAGGTGATAACACCATCTACCGCGGTATAGTTAGGGAGCGGTATGATGATATCAAAAAACAGATATCGCGTAACTCTAAAACAAATAAAATAATATGTGACAAATAAAGCAAATGTTATCAATCAAATGTTATTTTAATCCTTCCAGACCAGGGGTCGGCAACCTGCGGCTCTTTCATCCTTCTGTTGTGGGTTGCTGTGACTTTGGAAAATAAATAATGAATATTTAATTACAATGTATTTTTATTTTGTTTGTTTTTAAATGTAATTCTAAATTTGTAGATAATGGTAATCCTGTAACACTAAAATAAAATGTTCAAAATATTTTTGTTGCTCAAAATATGCGTCAAAGCCGCCGATGTGCGACACCAGGCACAGATCTGGCAGACCAGATTTACCAGGTCCTAGATCAGCAGCATGATTTATTGAGCTTTTTGACCCCGGTAGGTAAAAGAAAAAAGAAGAAAAGAAAAGTTTCTGAAGAAAACAGAATGTTTAATGCTATGTGGACAGATTCATTTTCTATCACGGCTGGTGAGGCTGGTACACGTGGAACTACATGCAATAAAGTGACGATGGAACACAGAAGCAAACGGCAGGTTTGGTTTGCTGTGAGTGGAAAATTTAAGTTTGGATTTTTATTTCCTACGAGGAGGACTCAAATAGACACTGAGTGTGTTTAAAGCAGCTTTACACACATTTGTTTATGTTTTACAGAAACAAAACTTAAAACCACATGGTTAATTTGCTGTTAGTGCTCTGTGTCTCCCTGATGTGGTCAGCTTCTGTCAGACTAGAGGACAGGAATCAGTAGAGTATGTGTGTTCTTTCTGTGAGAGAGGAAGATTATACGTCTGCAGATCATACACATAGACCATATACATGAATGGATTTATATTCTCTGTAGAATTTTATTGATTTCTTAAATGCAACACACTTTAGTCCTTTATACAGAGCATACAGGTAAAAAAATGATATGCAGTGTTCTCCTCATTTTAGATGTCAAAGGGGTTTTGTGGCTCCAGGTGTTTTCTGTGAGAGATGCTCCAAATGGCTCTTTGAGCATTTAAGGTTGCCAACCCCTCTTCCAGACAATAGAATATATATGTTTAAACAAGAACTAAAGTATGTCAAAATGTGTATTCCATGTAGACAATCTTAAGGCCGCCACACAACACAGAAGAATTTGCTTGTGATTTGCTTCTCCCCGAGTTCGGGGACTTTATGGCTTCGTGTGTGATTTTGAAGCTGCTGCGCTCCTCGTGTGTGGTGTCACTGTGACTCTGAGCTGCTCTGTCAGATTGTAACCACCAAATATCAGCTATGCTACAGCAACAGCCAATAAAACAGAGCACTGGGGCAGAGGAGTGACGGACACAGAGGAGCAAGATACAAACTCAGGAAATAGCAAAAATAATGAGGCGACTTTATCACTCACCTCTCTGAAAGTTTTAAAGTTAAACTGCAGCATCTCATCCATATTGTCCAGAGAATTTGTCCTCTGCAAATAATGACACCTAGTCCACAGAACCACGCTACTAATCCAGTTTGAAGCGTTCTTTGAAAGTAAAAAGTCAAGAGAAGTTTCTCACGTGTGTCTGTTTACATCCACACAGTGCACGGTGCTCGAGATAAATCTTCTGATTAGCAATAGTCACTCTACTTCCTGTGCACTTCATCGGGAGCCTTCTGTGCATTAAATATCATGTATATTAAGTATTGCACCACATTTCACAAATAATAATAACACAGTTTTGACTTGTATCTAAACCAGAAGTGTAGAGCTCTGATCTTTGAACTCTTAAGTCTCAAATTGAGTCGTTTTAATCTAGACAGGAAAGAGGAGACGTGAGGTGCACTCACAGCTTTATATCCTGTAGTCCGCAGACATATCCTGCTGCAGTCTTTGCAATTGGAGATTTTAAATCTCATAAGATTCTCCTTGTGTTTGTGGTGTGCACGTTTTGTTGCATGTTTAAAAATCGTTTAAGACTGAAAAATCCTGCAGTGTGTGGCAGCCTTTAGTCTGAAACGTATGTGTTAAGTCTTAAATCGTTAATCGTTAATGGTGTTTGCGGCATTATGTTACACTAAATAATTAGCTTTTTGCAGCTCATTAAGGAGTTGAGAGTCAAATAAATTCTCCCATAAAATGCATTGTTTCCCTTCAGTGCAGCTATTACAAGTATAAGAGCCTTTCAAGCAGTCTGGATGAGGCCTATGTACAGACATAGGCCTACTGTACAAAGTTGAGGTGCTTATACTGCACTACACTGTCCCATAGACCTGCATTAATGCTGTAGCTAAGATCTGCTCAAACCAATTAAAATTCTCCCACTCCTGCTCTTACCCAATAACCTTCAGTCTGAGTCTGGCTGAATGCAGAAATGGAAGAATCTCCTAATTGCCCGTCTCCTCAGTCTCATTACTTTGATATAAACAGCTTTTAGTTGGCACATCGCACATCACAAGTCGGTTTACTGCAACATTTCTTAAGGCGAAAGACGGTGAAATGACAACAGCCCGACCCCCTCTTCACTACTCAT